CTCCCCCATGCCCGCGGGCGGCCCCCGCGAGCGCCGGGCCGGGCCGGGTCAGCCCGTGCCGCCTACCTGAGCCGCCTGCTGACACGGTCCATCCTCCAGGAACCGGGCGATGAGGAAGTAGAGCTCTGCGCGGGAGAGAGGGACGGGAAAAGCCGGCTGAGCGGCCGCGCGGGGGGCGGGGGCCCGCGGGCGAGGCGGCCCGGTGCGGCGGCCCCGCAGCTCCCGACTTACCCGATCGCAGCTCCGAAAGGCCTTTCCGCTCTCGAGACATGTTCAGGGGTCACTTCGGGGCCGCGGGAGGGACACGCCGCCGCCGAGGGGACGCGGGGACGGGGCCGCCGCCTGCCCTGTAGCTGTCAGTGTGTGCTCACGAGCCGAGCCTCGGCTCCACCATTCAAGCAACGGCGGCGGAGGCGGAGGCGGAGGAGGAGGAAACAACAACTCTGAGGCAGCGGTCGGGCCGCGGCCGCTCCGCCGGGATCCCTCCGCCGCAGAAAGGAGTCCGCGCCTCCGCCGCCCCCGCCCCCCGCGGGAAAAGGAGTGCCCACCGCCCGGACTGCGCCCGCGCCGTCTTCGCCTCGCTGGGCCCGGGTCTCCGCGGGGGTCCCTACTCGGCGAGCCGCACCGATGTCGACGCCGACCGTGGCCTGCGGGGAGGCGCTTTCCCGGAGGAGGCCGCCTGCGGGAAGAGGGGGCCGCGCACGGAGGCGCGGAGGGATCTGACGCACACGGAGCCGCAGCACCGCTCTGCTCGGTGGCGCTGGCTGGGCTGAGATGGAAGTTAGTTTCCATGTAGCAGAAATAGGAAACAAATGAAGCCAAACTGCCCAGCGCGGGGAAATGCCGGGAGGACCCGGCTCGCCCTCGAGCGCGCACACAGACACACGCAGGGAGCACTCCGGGATGGGCGAGGCGAGCTCGCGCTGCCCTGCCCGGCTGGAATGCTAGTGTTTGCTCTGCCTTGCCATGTGCACGGGTATAAATGCTGCGGGCTGGCATCCGTGTAAGTCTTGTCCTGCGTGATTTCTGCAGCCTGTGCAATTGGTGTGTAATTTACTGGAGTGCAGTAGATCGCAGGAGAGGTTCGGGCTGCTTTCTGTGAGACACTCGGCGTTTGCAAACCCGTTATTTCCTGAAGCCACCTCTGCATAGTTCTTTTATTACTACCATTGCCCGAAGCGTGCGTTTTTAATAATGTTTGTGTATTGTTCAAGGGGCCGGAGGAACTCCAGATTTGGACTTCACCTCGTCTTTTTTTCCTGGTTAGAAAAAGGCTAGTGATGACTAATGAGGGATTTGGGAGCGAAGACCCTCAAAGCTTTTCTAAAGTGTTCACAAGAAGGGATCCTTTAAACCTGAACGGAAGGAGAGGACGCTAGCTAATATTTATCTCTAACTGATCTGGAGGTAAATTACTGACAGATCGATGAACCTACCGAAGGTTATTGCAAGAGTATATTAATGTTTAGCCAAGGTGATTAGTGATTTAATAATTTAAATGATCTGTATTTGCAGTAGACTTCGTCGTGCTAATTAATGGCTTCTAATTTGAGGTGTAAACCATTCCTGTTTACAGTTAATCGTCAGACGACTTCTTGAAAACGGACGAAAAGCGGAAAAATAATCGTTCGTCAATCAATGTAATCACCGGTTTTATATGCTAAATCATCTGTGTTTTGCTGATGAGAGTAAGGGCCTTGTTACTTTAAAAACGAATACGGGGGAAATTAATGGAAACAATAGAAAAGCCATTTGTTAGGAAACAAGGACACCAAGTGATATTTAGCTGCAGATGTGCTTAAATAGCACTTTCCTAAAAGACTTGGGAGTTGAAATTTTTTTCAAGGTTGGCATTTTAAAGAGAATTAGGAGAGTCATTCTTTTGTTAATCCTTGACAAAAGATTCTCCTTGAAATTTGTAGATAATAAGCTGCATTTTCATAGGTCAGGTTTTAAAAGGTAATTTGTGAGGAAGGGACCGAGACGCTGCTTTGTGGTTTTCAGGATTGTTTCCTCGAGCCTCGCACCCTTCTAGCTCCCTGTCTTCCTAGTGGGAAATATTGCTGCAGCTGCCTTGGGCTGTACTGCAGGAGTGCACTGGGGATCCCTGCACTAAGCATGAGAAATCATCGCACATGTAAGCAAGAAGACGCCTCAACCCCTTTGGAATAATGGGATGTAAAATTGTCTGTTGTAACTCAATAAAATAAAAATGAGAGGTCACCATGATGGGTCCTATAGCGGCCTGCTTATCAGAGTAACTGCTGCTGTGTTGACGTGGCCGTCCTCAGATTCTGAACGTCTGTATTATTGCCTAAACATTTAATTCTGTTCTTTCTGTGATAGATAAAGTAACCAGCTTCTAGATGATTAGGCTTAAAAGGATATTTTATATGCCTTTCTGCAGTTGCATTTATTTCTGTGGCCGATGCTATTTTATCTTAACTTTTTAAAAGTATTCTATTCTTCAAGTCATTGTGGTGTCTTACCTCATGGTGATGTTCTTCAAATAAACAGATTTCTAAAACTTGAAATTCTAGTTGTGATTTTCTGGATTTGAAATGCTTGCATTGGTCTAATTCTTACTAAAAGATGTTTATCCTTGTGAAGCAAAATAAACCAAATTTTGACATGCGATGTAAAATTTCTGTGGATAAAGTTTTCCATATATCTCTTGTGGGTGTTTTGGAAACATGGATTCTATCATGTATATGTTTCATGATGAAGCCACAGGAACTTTTTCACAAATATAAGACTAAAAATGTTTAAGGACAGCCTACTTCCTTCTTAATGTTAAATTCCTGTCATTTTGACTAACTCTTGGCAAGGTTTTTAGTTTCTTTTTGAAATAGTTTAAAAACATTTTAAATCTTGCCTTTGAACTGATTATCAATGTTTTATTTGTAAAAGTACAGATTGCCTGACAAAAATGAAGACTGTTCTCATTTAAATAAACTATTGTTTTTAAGCTCTGGTTGTTAAATTGAATTTTACTAAGTTCTTCAAATGTTTTTGAAAAAGTAAAAGAAAAACACTTCACATGTTTCTTTAACATAAAACACATTTCTGGAGTCTGGCATCATCTGTTAACTAGAGTTTAAGTCATTTATTGTATGTATGTCTGCAAAAATATCTATACATACCAAATAGAGAAAGAAAATCTTGTTTGGAAAGCCTGTATTTCAGTTCCCAAAGCATTGCTGCATACATTCTTTTCACAGATAACTATATATAAGGACAGTTCAGATTCAGAGTTATAACCCTCTCTTTTTTCTTTTTATGCTTTCATGTACTCCAAAACTAAAACATCATTAAAAAAAAAACCTCTCCATGCATTTTAAAGAAGAAAGCCAACAACAGAAACAAACAAAAAAGGAAAGATTGGAAAGTCTACTATTAATTTTTATATGATAGTCTCTTTAAGAGATTTATAAACTTTTAAAATTAGAAGTTTCTGTAGAATTCTTCACTGTGCCTTGTCATCATATGAAACGAGGAGCGTTTAATAAAAACTTTGTCTTGATCTTGGTAAGCAATTATTAAAAAATCAAATTCTGCCATTTAAGTCTTCCCTGGAGAAGACTAACTATGGGATACTAACTATACATTTTTTTGAGTTCTACATTTATGAAAATTGATGTCTCTAGTACTAGTATGGTGAATGAGACATAAAAAAGTCCCCATGAATACAGCTTGTTAAATTATATGTTAAGTCATGTTTCTGTTTTGGTGTTATGCTTCTGTTATGGGGTGTTTTGAGGGAGCTGTTATTTTTGTCTGTGTGTTTGTAGTGCTAGGGATTAACCCAGGGCCTTGCTCATCTTGGGCAGGCAGTCTACCACTGAGTAGACTGCCACATCTTGGGCAGGCAGTCTACCACATTCTCAGTCCAGATGCTGCCTTTATAGCAAAAGTTTTACCCAGCGAAGTAGAGAAATGAAAAGGCAGAAAGCACCCTTCTCCAAAAATGCCTTTTTAAAAATACTTGTTTATCCTAACAATACAATACAGCATCTGTGTTAGAAAGGTGCTAACAAGCTGCCCTCCTCCTGGGACTTGCTATCCACCATTGTGTGGTTCTGTCCATGCCTGTCTGTCTTACCACTTATGCCCTTTTTCTTCACCAAGCATGAATCTCAAATTTGAACCTCATGAGAAGTTATAGTATATGGTACCTTTAGAAAGAATAGGGTTAACTAACTTCAGTAAACCATTCCGTTATTAAGTTTTTTGCTACTTAATATTATTTGAACATTCTCCCTTATTAGATTACTGAGAGATCTTTTTATATAAACTATAGCACATTTCCTTTTAATCTGTAACAAAGATAGCAGGATTCCAACAATCATATAATCCCTTCCCTATTTAAATGTTAGTAATTCATTCAACCTTTTTTCTCCAAATTAAATAATTCTGGTAATTTGCATTTTTATAACTTAATTTGCAAAAGAAATATCTTCATGGATTATTTGTATATTTTAAAAAATCCATTCATGAGTTTACAATACAATTGCAAAGATTAATAAAAATAATTTTAGAACATACTCCCCCAAGATCTGGAGTAACACAGTAGGTGAAGTAGAAAAAGCTGTTCCAGATGGCAGGAGACATGAAGTCTGCAGGATGTTCTGTCATAGCAAGATGCTTGATGGACTGGGAGCGGGTTGGACTGCACAGAGCACAGAGAGAGAAAACAGAAAAGATGGCCTGGGGAAGGAAGATGCTGAGCCCCTGGAAGTTGCTGGTGGAGGTGTTTTAAATAAAACATACTCTTA